TCAATTATATATAAAAATATTAGAATTCTTTACAGGAATTCAATTATTTTCAAATATTTTAATAAAATTGTTTAAAAGAAATCAATTGTTTTAAATACAATTTTAATTAACTTTTTTTTGGAAATAATTCAATTATTCTTTTAGTTTTTAATAAAACATTCTTCCCAAGAATTCAATTATTCACATAAATAATTCTTCGAAAGAATTCAATTATTAAAGATAAATAACAAAATTATTCCAGAAATTATTTTATTTAATTATTCTTTTGCAAAGAATTTTATTAAAATAAAATTCTTTGCAAAATTCAATTATTTTCATAAATAAAAATATTCATCACAAGAATTCAATTATTTTTAAAAGTAGTAAATTTCTTCTTGGAAATTCAATTACTTTAAAAAAATTCTAATAAAATCGTTGAAAATAATATTAAATAATATTTATTTAAGTGTTGCGAAGAAAAATTTTGATTCGTTTTTTGTCTCAATTTGATATCCGCAGAAAAGCTTGGAGAAATAAAGAAAGAATAAAATAAAATGATGAGAATTTTTTAAGTGAATAAAAAAAAAAAGAGAAAGAGAAAGAGAAAATAATTCCACTCCTAAAAATCTTGTAAGATAAAAGAATCATCATCATCAGTTAATATGAGTAATAAAGAAAGATCGAAAAAGGAAGACAAGACACGAGAGTTGTGTAGTGAAATGTGACTTATAACGATAATAATATTAACAAGAAAAGAATATGAGAGGAAAGAAATGAGAAATAATAAATTTGAAAATGTACGCCAAGAGATGAGCGCATAAGTCGTTATCTGTTCTTCTTCCTGAATGCATATGAATCTTTAATTTTATTCGGTATAAACAAGAGCCACGTGTTTCGTCGACATAATTTAATAAGCGCATGCATATATTATGAAAAACGCGCACACAAACGCAAATTCACCCGCTTACGTCTCTCTCTCCCTTTTCTCTCTCTCTCTCTCTCTCTCTCTCTCTCTCTCTCTCTCTCTCTCTCTCTCTCTCTCTTTTTCTCAGCGAGCGCAATAATTTGCCAGAAAAGTAACGAGCACTGCTGTGTACAAATTAATTTTCTTATCTTTCTGTATATAAATTATTATTTTCAATTTTTGCATTTTGCCTTTAATGTACAATTCGCATAAATTCACTTCACACTAATTGTTAATTATAATTATTAATTAATAATTGTAATTATTATTAATTCCTTGTTCTAAATTTTTTTTATTATAAATATTAATTAATTAATAATAATAATAATAATAATAATAATAATAATAATAATAATAATAATAATAATAATAATAATAATAATAATAATAATAATAATAATAATAATAATAATAATAATAATAATTATTATTATTATTATTATTATTATTATTATTATTATTATTATTATTATTAATTAATAATTACTCATTGTTACAACACTTACACTGGAAAACAATTTACTTGATTCAAATAAACTTAGCAAATAAATATTATTTATTCACTCAAGGAATTTATTTGAAAAATTTGTTAGACCAGAAATGTTTTAAAATTTTTTGTTTCTTAAGGCAGGGAAAAATTTTTAAAGCCAGGGGGCAAAATTTTTGAAAGTAATTTAACAAATTACCGCTCGTTGCTCTGAGCGCAGAGAAGATGAGATGCAGCGAGATTAAAATCTTAAAATTCTTTTTCAAACATTCGAGTAATATTCATGAAAGAGCGAAACATAAGTAATTAAAATACCACATTCAGGTTTCTTATTCCCCCAATTTTTCAGAGGGAAGTCAACCAAGAGAGAGAGAGAGAGAGAGAGAGAGAAAATTAAAAAGAGAGAGAGAGAGAGAGAGGAAAAAAATAAAGAGGGAAAAGAGAGAGAAAACATAAATTTAGCGTGGAATGAGAGAAAGTAAAATGAGAGGAGAGCACTCTCAAGAGGGGTCTCTTTATACCTTATCGATCCTGCAAAAGTTCCTTGGAGAATGTCTCGCGAAATCTGATCCTAAAGAGGCGCAGGAAATATAAGTTAATAAAAAGTATAAAAAAAAGGAAAAGAGAAAAAGAGATAGAGAGAGAGAGGGGGGGGGGGAGGAGAGAGAGATCTAAGAGCATTACAAGAAATCTTCTTTGCAAGAGAAGTCGGGGGGAGCCTCTCTCGTTTCTCCGTCAGGCGAAAGATACACATTGCGCGTACATAAATGCGCATAAATGCGTGTATACATAAGTATCCTATGCGGAATACATATAGTCCGATTCAGAAAAGGGAGAAACGGAAACACGATTTACACGATTGTATTTATTTACAGGTAGATTTATTGTGCTCTGTTGCCCCTTCCAAACCATAAGAATGACTACGTGCGCTCCCATTTTTTATTCACTTAAAAATTCACTCGTCGCTGTTATGTTTTTTTTTTCTTTTTTCCCTTTGAAATAGACGAAACGGTGAATTTATTTTCTGAAAATAGTCGAAAAGAAAAGGTAACAAAAGAAGTACAAAAAAAAAAAAATTACAAAATAACAACAAAATATTTAATTATAAACAAAATTAGTCATTTAAATTTTGTTTTGAATTTCGCGCCAAAACGATTCGTTTAATTACCGCCTAGATGGCACGAAAGTTCTCTCATATGCGGAATGAAGCCTAAAGCCTAAATAAGAACAAGAAGAATTTTCAATTATATAGAAACGAAATTAATTCTATTAATTCTATTTTCAAAAATTCTCTTGAAATAAAATCGTATTTTTGAAGAATTATATTTTGAAATTTTTTTTAGAAAATCGTAAATTTTCATTTAAATTTAAAAAGAATGTTTTTGTAACTATAAAAAGGTCAAACAGTTATGCTAGTAATGCTAGTTTTGAATTAAATTAAAGTAATTAAATTTTCCGCAGAGTGGGATTTTTCTTGTTTAACAAAATTTTGAATTGATGCCAGACTTCGCACTCGATAATTAATTTTCAAAAAGTAGCATTCAAAGTAAAAGAAAGTAGTAAAAAAGTAGCTGTCGAAAAATTAAACTTGACGTCCAAAAAAACTCGTTTTAGACACTTCACAAAACTGCCAAAAATTCCATTCCATATTTTTTTTTATTTTTCTTACTTTTTCCTAATTTTCATAAAAAATATTTACTTTCTTTCTTATCCTGCTAATAAATTGAATTCCTGCAACGAATTTAATTTTATAAAAATGTTTAAATAATTGATTTCTTTCGAACAATTTTATGTAAATTCTCATTTAAATAATTGAATTCCTGAGAAATTATTATTATTCATGAAAAGAATTAAATTCGTAGGAAGATTTTTACAAAAAATTTATTAAATAATTGAATTCCGTTTGGCAATTTTATAAAAATAGAAGATATTGAAAATCATTGAATTGCGAAAAGTTTTTTAAAAAAAATTAAATTTTACGAAGAATTCTATTAAAATTTTTGCCAATAATTTAATTAATTAATTTTATAATTAATTAATTAATTAATTAATTAATTAATATTTAATTGTTTAGAAAATAATTGATTTCCTAAAAAACATTTTATTATTTATGAAAATAATTGAATTCTTGCAAACGATTTTATTAGAATTTTTTAAAATAATTGAATTTCCAAGAAGAAATTTACTACTTTTAAAAATAATTAAATTCTTCTAATGAATATTTTTATTTATGAAAGTAATTGAATTTTGCAAAAAATTTTATGAAAATGACTCAAATTAATTGAATTTTCTGCAATATTTTTGTTATTCATTGACATAATTGAATTCTTTCGAAGAATTATTTATGTGAATAATTGAATTCCTGTGAAGAATTCTAATATTTTTCGAAAATAATTACATTATTGCGAAAAATGTTACAAAAATGTTTAAAAAGAATTGAATTTCTCAAATTTTGTTATTTTTGAAAATAATTGAATTCTTTATAAGAATTTTATAAACACTGTTTTAAATAATTGATTGTTTTCGTAATATAATAAATGTTATGAAAATTTTATTTTAAATAATAATTCAATTCTTGTGGAAAACTTTATTTGTTAAAATAATTGAATTTTTCGATTAATTAATTGAAAATTGTATTAAAAATAATTGAAATTCTTCGATGAGTTTTATTATTTATGAAAATAATTGAATTCTTGCTTCGAATTTTATCAAAAATTTTTTTAAAAAATTGAATTTCCTTGAAAAATGTTATTATTAGTGAAAATATCTGAATTAATGTGAAGAATTGTATAAAAATTTTGTTAAATACTTGATTTTTTCGAAATTTTGTTGAAAATGGTATTGTAAATTAATTGAATTTTTGTGGGAATTTTATTATTTATGAAAATAATTGAATTTTGGATGAATTTTATCAATTTTTTTTAAAAATAATTTAATTCTTTTGCGAAATTTTGAGAAAATGCGAGATATTGAAGATAATTGAATTTCGAACATTTTTTGAAAATAATTAAATCGTTTTAAAGAATTTTATTATATTTTTTGAGAATAGTTTTTTGAGTAGTGGAAATTGATGCGAGTAGGAAAATCTTAAAAATACAATTTCATAAAAATTGGATAAAAAAATATTTATTTAAAGTTTTTGGTTATCTCAACAATTTGGAACTTTTGTAGTTAAAAAAAATTACTTTAGGTGTTAAATAAAAATTACTTGATTCAAAATATTAAATTTTACACAGTTTTCTTAAAAGTATTAAATTCATACTAAAGTAAATCACAAATTGATGACAAAAATCTGGATCAATTTTTTATTTAATCCACATTTTTGGTATCAATTCGTTGCAAGTTGATACTTTTAAGAAAATTGTCTAATTATTTATTAAATAGTAAACTATTTTTTTATTTATTGTAATATTGAATTTTACTCTTTTTTGATAAAAGTTCCTTTTTTTCTGTTTCGATCGCCAAAATAGGACAAGAAGGGTCAAATGTTATTTTTCTATTTATATAGTTTGAATGGAAATTTTTTATTTTTGTTATTAATTTTTTTCTTTGTTTGCTTCTTTGTTTCAGTGGTGGCAAGTTTATTACTGTTGGCGATAAAATAAGACTGCCCGATGATGTGACAATGGGTTATATTATTGAGCATCTTTTGAAGAAGCAACTCACTGTCGTCGAACAATTTCATTCGCATCTTGAACCAATGAAATTCCTCAATAAGGACACTTTCCACGAACAGGTGAGTTTCCTACAACTAATTATTTATTTTCTTTGACTATTTTTTCTCAAATAAATTACTATTTCTAAATCTGAATCAATAAAATTTTTAACTAATTTTGTATCAGTGACTGAATTTTTTTTTTTTTTGGTTTAAAAATTTACTTGATTTGGTTTATTTCTTAGTAATTTGTTACTATCACCAAATTACTATTTATTATTGTTACTATAATTGATTTATTCAATTGGGATTCATAGTTAAATTTAGATTCAGATTTACGTTAAGATTCAGAATCAGTTTTAGATTCAGTTATAGATTCAGTTTTAGATTCAGTTTTAGATTCAGATTTAGATTCAAATTTAAATTCAACTTTAGATTCAGATGCAGATTTACATTCAAAATTAGATTCAGATTTTGATTCAGAGAGCGATTTGGAATCCTGTTTTTTAATTAGAACAAGATTAAAAAAATGAATGTAGTAAAAAGAGAAAATGAGAAGAGAGAGACTGTAATTGTTTTATTTATTTATTTTTTTGAAAAAAGGAAGACATTCTTGAAGAGTAAAGTGTTATTCGCGGGGAGATATATTCCCTGGATATTAAGAATAATGATAACTGTAATAAAATTGATTTATTATCGTATGAATAAGGTACGCAAGGTATATATAATTTGATTGATCTCTAAATTCATAGGCTACTCCTTTTGCTCATAGAAATTCAATTTATCAATTTGTCAATCAATTCAACTTGAATCGAAAGGTCAGTGACCCGATTGGAATTGATAGGAAAACGTCAGAGCAATGCGAGCATCTAGATTTCGAATGTTCGATAGGAGCCAATTGATAGTCATGGATCACATTGTCGGCTTTCTATATAACATTTCGAATGCAAGACACCTCTTTTGGCATTTATATTTATATATCTTTGCTTTTCTAAATACGTCTTTCCTTTTCTATATACATCTTTCCTTTTCTATATTTTTTCTTTTTTTAAATTTTTTCTTTTTTACATTTTTTCTTTTAGCTACATTTTTCTTTTTTTAAATTTTTTCTATTCTACATTTTTTCTTTTTTATAAACTTCTTTCCTTTTCTATATATAAATATATATTCTATATCTATATATACGTTAGTCTCATCTTAACACTCAAAAAATAATCTTGAATCTGAAACATCGCGATCCATTACTTTCTCGTGTAAATGTACAACAAGCACTGACGTCAATACCTGTACAAAAGGATTCGAAATATTTTTGATTGACAGATACCGATAAGATATATACTGCTATTAGCATCATCTTACAATGGTCAGGAACTTGCCAATAAAACGAATGACTCTTCCTTATGTACCTCAACAAAAAAGGAAAAGAAAAGTTCCCAAGGAAATGAGAAACAGATTTATTATCACAAAAAAAAAGGAAAGAATAGAAGAAATCGAAATAATATCTTCCGAAGAGTAAATTTAATTGATTGATTCAAAAGATTTTACATTCTCATCATGTGAAAAAAAAGTGTAGGGACTATTTTTTTAATGTAGAATCAATTTTTTTTCCAGGGAAATATTTAACTGTTTTTTTTTAAAATTTTAATCGAAAAATGTAATTTTAATTCAATTCGACTTTAAATGAATTATTAAATTAAATTTTTAATTGATTTTATTAAATTTAGTTTTCAATTAACTTAATTTAATTATTTGGATTAGTCACTTCTAACTAATTTAAATTTAGAGAATACTAAAATAGAAAAAAAATTAAAACTAAAAATTCACTGAGCTAAAAATAAATTTTTTTAATGCCACAAATATTTTTTTTTGTTACCAAGAAAATATAAATTAAAAGAAGGAATAAAAATATAGTCGTCGATTTAAACTTTCGAAATTTTTCGGAATATAGAGTAGAAAAGAACGAAAACGAAATAAAAAATTAATATTTCCTTGTAAGTAAAATGAAAAAAGAAAAATGAAATCATATTTGCTGAAACATCATCTATAAAGTATATTGCATCTGGTTGATGAAAATATGTTTTGTCTCTGAATCAATAAGGTTTCAACTTTCAAGTCCGATGTAAGCGAAATTCGAAATCGTGAAAAGTATCACTTTCAATGATACTACACGTATAATATACAATGATAAACAGAAAACGAACTCTTGATTTTAAGTTCAAGATTAAAATTTTAATCTCATTATTGTATATTTTTAGACACATGGATTAATTTCAAGGTTTTTTCTCCTCTTTTTGCTTCAGGTATCATTCAGTTACTCGAAAGGTTCCAAAGACGAATGGAATGTTGTGAAAATCGATGGTTTCAATCCTAGAGACGATCCAACAAGGTAAGATTCGAACAAAGAAATTATTATAGTTAATTAAATAAATTAAATAATATTTCTGTATTCTTTAATTCAAAATTTGATTGAATTTTTTAATTAACAATTAAAAGTATACGATTTTTTTCTATTCTTCAGAAAATTGCTGAGAAATGAAATCAAAAATTAATTTCACTTCAAATATAAAAGTTTTGACTAAATTTTCATCGAAAACTACAAAAACTTAATTTAATTTCAAATCAAAATTCTATTTCGTTTCAATTATAAAATTTTTGACTAAATTTTAGTCAAAAACTACTAAAATTTAATTCCGTTTCAAATTATAATTCAATTTTGCTTTAATTATAAAAGTTTTGACTAAATTTTAATCAAAAAATACTAAAATTTAATTTACCTTCAAATCAAAATTCAATTTCGTTTCAATTATAAAATTTTTGACTAAATTTTAGTCAAAAACTACTAAAATTTAGTTTCGGTTCAAATTATAATTCAATTTTGCTTTAATTATAAAAGTTTTGACTAAATTTTAATCAAAAACTACTAAAATTTAATTTCGTTTCAAATCAAAATTCAATTTCGCTTCAATTATAAAATTTTTGACTAAATTTTAGTCAAAAACTACTCATTGGTATTAGAAAACTATTAATATTAAGGTTACTAATTTATTTATGTAGTAAACGTTAGTAATTGAAATAGTGGCCTTAGTTTTAGTTTTTTAGTTTTAGTTTTTCTTAGTAATTTTGTACTACCATTTGGTAGTTTTTGACTAATAATTTAATTAATGAACGACTTTTTTTTTTGATTTATCAGTCGAAAGAGACTAATTCAGATTTTGTAAATAAATAAAAATAAAATAAATTAAGTAAATTAAATAAAATTATATTAAATGCCATTAAATTAAATTAAACAAATTAGATTGAATTTAATGAAATGAAATTAAATAAATTAAATTAAATTAAATTAAATTAAATTAAATTAAATTAAATTAAATTAAATTAAATTAAATTAAATTAAATTAAATTAAATTAAATTAAATTAAATTAAATTAAATTAAATTAAATTAAATTAAAGCTTGATATAAAATGGAAAAAAATCAATTTCTGTTACAGATTCAGATCGATTCATTGTCATCTTTATCCGAAACTTTCATATTGTCCGCACAGATGATGAATTTACGTAATGTAATATTTTTTTTTGTTTAATTTTTTTTGTGAATTTATTATTTTTTTTATATAAAATATATAAAATATTTAAAATGATAAATTATGAACGAAGCAATGACTGAACATGATGGCAGCAATAAAAGTCCGGAATTATTTGTCTGCAACCAGTGAAGCAGTATAAGGTAGATTAAAGTTTATACGTTCCATAAAAATCACGCGAGTCGCTTTGCCGAAACATTAAACAGATTGCAGAACGTTATTTAATCCACTTTGTCTATACTACTGCTGCGTCAAAACTTAAATGTTTACGAACGTGCAAAAAATGAAAAAAAAGAGAGAGAAAATGTCAAACAAATGTTTGAAATTCAACTCCAATGCGGTATGTGCATATAATTTACACAGTAAAACTTCCTGAATCAGAAGGGATTCTTCTCGTAAAATTTTTTATTTTTCTAAGCAATTTAATTAATTTAATTTAATTATTAATTATTAATAATCATGGTTAATTTTTATTTTGAACAAATTTTAAATAAATTTATAACGCAAATCGAATTAAATGAAATACTATTAAAATTGAAACGTAAATTATTACGTTTCATGTAATAATTAAATTAAATTAGTTATTTATTAATTAATACAATTAATTAATATTATCAAAGTGGTGAAATAATTTTTAAACTTTTCCTTTGATTTATTTTCACTTGTTTCACTTTTAAAACAAATAAAAAATAAAATATGTTAATTAATTATTAATTAATTCAACTAATTAATATTATTAAAGTAATAAAATAATTTTTGGACTTTTACTTTCCATTATTTTCACTTGTATAAATTTAATTATAAATTAATTCAACAAATTAGTTTTATTAAAGAAATAAAGAAAAGGGTTCATTTAAAACCTGTTTATGTCCAAATAAATAAATAAATAAATAATAAAAACTAATTTTTGGGCAAGTTTAAAAATTATTTAAAAATTAAAATATTAAGTTGTATTTTGTAGACAAAAAACTATTTTTTACCGGCTTTTTTGTTTTTAATTAAAGTATCACTAAATATTTTCTGTTGAAAAAAAAAATTTTTGTTTCTATTCTACATTACTTAAAATTGAAAAAAATTGAAAATTGAAATAAAAGACTAATATTTTCAAAATTGAAGAATCCTCTGTTTCGAGAAGTTTTATTCTATAAAAGCAATAAAAATAAAAATATCGATAGATGGAAATATCAAGAAAACAATTTTTTAATTATCAAATAATTAATTAATAATCGTGTCATTTTTCTTTCATCGAACATTTTTTTTTCTTTCAAAAAGTTAAAATTTTGTTATTTACTTTAAATTTTCCTTTAGTTTTTTATTTTTACAATGTTGCGTGAAATAAAATTTTCCATTCCTCGCACAATTTTGTGAAACAAATAACTTTTAAGCTGTTTTCATTTTTTTCTATTTTTTCTTTCTTTCATTTTTTTTTTTTTTTTTTTTTTTTTTTTTTTTTGTAAAATATTGTACATATTTCTATTATCGATGATCGACTTATTCAGCTCTGACAGACACTTCATGTATAAATTAAAAACTAGTGTATTCGAATTTCAATTAAATTTTCAATTTACATTGAAATAACAGTTAATTGATTTTTAGATGTGAACTGAATACTTTAAACACAGTTGAAAATGTCGATTATAAATGGTAAATTATTTTGGCTCAGAGTATCAGTGAAATATTTTAGATTTTTTTTTTTTTTTTTTGCATAAAGTAGAAAATTGCTTAATAATGGAGAAAAGAATTTTTTAATAATAGAACATTTTTCTGTAATACAAAAATTTAATAATAAAAATTTGTTCGTAATAAAAAGTTTTTTAATAATACAAATTTTTACATAATAAAAAGTTTTTTAATGATAAAAAATTTTTTCACAGCGAAAAGTTTTTTAATAATAAAAAATTTTTTCACGGTAAAAAATTTGTTAATAATAGAAAATTTTTGCATGATATAGAATAAGAATTAAAAAATAAACAAATAACTCTATTAGTAAAAATTTCAGTTGTTAGTAATTTTATTTTTTAATTATTATTATTATTTTTTTTGGTTAATTTGTTGATACTCTGAGTTTATGGATGAGTTAAGTGTACCTCTCCAAAGTCTGTGACATTTTTAAAGTTCTATTTATCGAAAGCTAGTGTGTAACTGTCTGTTAAAAGTTAAAAAAAGCACTGTGAAGATTATTTATGAATAATACAAACAAACTTTTCGAATTGTTAAAAATTTTTCTATGGAAAAAAAGTTTTGGCAAATATTTTCGTTAACAATTGCAGAAATAGGATTATTTTTTTAATTAATAATTATTGATCCTAATAATTATAATAATTAGTTACTATAATTAATTATTTTAATTAGATAGTGTAAAAAAAATTAATTTTAATGAACAACTGTAAAAGTAATTAATTATTATAATGAACTACTATAAAAATAATTAATTATTATTATCAACAACTTTAATAATAATTAGTTATTATTAATAAAATTGTGAACAATAATTATTAATAATTCAATCATTAATTTTGATCAGAATTTCCTTCGTGGAAAAAGCAAAAAAATTTGTGATATTTGTAAATTAATTATAATAATTATTATTAATAAAATTGTGAACAATAACTAATAATTCAATCATTAAATTTAATGATAATTTTCTTCGTAGAAAAAAGCGAAAAATTATGTGATCATAATTTTCTTCGTTGTCAAAAAAACGAAAAGTTTTGTGATATTCCTAAATATATTCACAGAAAAAAAAATGCTGTTATTTGTGATTAAAAGATGAATAATAAGCAAGTTGAATAAGAAAATGATTTTAAGCTAGTCCCTCGTATCGAAGCAGACAGCTCTACAATGTGATATTGTAATATTGTATATGTGTGTACAAGAATGAGAGCGATCAAATTATTTTTCCCTTTTGTTACCTCATTTAATGTTTATTTTTAAATTTGTTTTTTTTTTTTTTTTTTGAAAAATCGTCGATTTATATGCGAGAGTGAATTATATTTTGTTGACTTGTCCGAGTGTGCAATAAAAAAGAGAAATGGGCAACGTCCTTTTTGAAATTAAATTTAATTTTTTCTATTCAATTAAATAATTTTTTTTTAATTTTTTCATTTTGTTTTCATTTTTTTCTTTCATTTATAAATATTTAAAAATATTTCATTTATAAATTAAAAAGAGATTTTCTTTTATTTATTATGTATACAGAGAGAACAAAAAAAATGCGAAAATGAATATTGAGGTGCTCTTGAAAAGAGATTTTTTTTTTAAAGAGATTGTGTTTATTTTTTATTATTATATATGTTGCTCAAAGCACTGGATCTATAATTAATATTGTTTCTACGTTGTATCATACTGTTTTATATGGTAATACACATCTATATAAATTATTTCATTTGATTTTTATTCCTACAACTCACTTTCCTTTATCCAATCTTTTTTTTAGTTCTTCTAAACAAGTCTTCTTTTAAAAAAAATAAAAAAATTGTAAAAGAAATGTTAAAAAACCTGATCAGATAAATATTTAAAGAAAATATTTGATAATAATAATAATAATAATAATAATAATAATAATAATAATAATAATAATAATAATAATAATAATAATAATAATAATAATAATAATAATAATAATAATGATAATAAAAATAATTTAATAAAAATGTTATTTTTATTAAAAAAAAAGAATTAGTTGCATAAAAAGTAAATTAATAAATAATTACCCAATTTATCGAATAATTATGGTAACTGACATATTGATTAATAGATAATTATTCAGTTAAATAAAAGTTGAATAAATAAATAATTACCCTAGTTATCGAAAAATTATGACTAGTGATAAATTGATTAATAACTCGTTTAATTGCTTAGTAATATTTAATTTGTAATATCAGGTCATCTAGAGAGACAGCTAAAAAATAATTAAATTCTGTAATAAGGACAATTTGAAAATTTAATTAATAAATAATCAAGTTATTTAAAAATTACGTTTATTAATAATTAAACTAGATTTAAAATTAAGTACTTTTTAGAACAAACTTAATAAATAATTGCTTTATAACAGTTGTAAATTTAAATTATTCAATTAACTGAAAATTTACTTATTTAATTTATTATTATTATGTAAAATTATTATTTTCTTATTATTTAGAACTTATTATCTTATTATTATTTTATTATTATCTTATTATCTTACTATTATTTTATTTTTTTCTTATTATTTTCTTATTTTTTTTCTTATTTTATTATTATTATATTCCTTTAATTTTTTATCATTAATTTATTATTATTTTACTTAAATTCTCAATAATATTTAATAATTAAATAAGTATAATATAAGAACTCTTTTTCAGTGAAAGTATCGCCATCCGTTGATTGAATGGAGAATTATTCTTCAAGTCGATACAGAAGTTTTCTGCGAGGAAGACTAGAGAAAAAAATATACAAAGCAAATTTTCGCAAATTTAATTTTCAAAACAGGAAAATTTCCAAAAAATATAATCGAATATTGTTTTTTAAAAAAAGAATATTAGGATTTTTAATTTAAAGGTTTCTTTTCTAATTATTCACAGTCAGTAATGATATGATTATCGGTGCAATCAGAAAACTCGGTAGGTAAATAATTTCATAAATCAATAAACAGAAATAGTAGATATAAATTAATAAATTAATTAGTTACAATAATTATTTTTTTTTCACAAAATTTTATTTATTTCGTAATTAATATTTTTCGCATTAATTTTATTTATTAGATTTTTATTACTTTTTGATTACAATTTTATTTCAATTTTATTTTTATTACTTTTTTATTACTCTTTTTTACTTTTTTATAACTTTTTTTACTCTTTTTTTATACTTTTTTACTGTTTTTACTTTTTGTAAATTTTTTGTACTATTTTTTAACTTTCTTTCTATCTTTTTTGCTTCTTTATGACCTTTTATTTATTACTTTTTTATTAGCTTTATTTACTGCTTATTAAAAATTAATTTTATTTATTAAATCTTCTGGGACATTAATTAACATAATTAGTAATACATTTGTTCTGCCCAAAAATAATCAATTTTTAACAAACTTCTCCTTTTATTTAATTTTATTTATTTATCCCGCAGAATTTTCAATAATAATAAGTTTAATTGTAAAACTTTTCTTTTTATTCCCCAAAACGACTAAAACGAAAATTTCAATTTTTAATTAATCTTCGTCTCTTTTTTTGTTTCTTTCTCTTTCTCGTCACGATTCACTTTTTTTTCTTTCTTATTAATACGGCAATTTTTATAGCTTCATATATAGAAGATATAACAAAATATCTCTTTTCCAGGAAATATTGAATAATAACGAATTTTTTTACCAGCGATAATTCACTGGTTTTCGTTCACGTTGAATATTTGAAAAAAAAAATTGAAAAGAAAAAAAAAGTTGACAAATTTAAAACAAAAAATGAGTGAGTAATAAAAGGGAGATGCTTTAAAAACTAAAGAGTAAAATAAAAAAAAAAAATATTAAAGTACAATATACAC